CACCATCATTACCAACTTGATCATTTCTTTGAAAGAACAGGCTCAACCATTTTCCTCTAAAATTACTTGGTGTCAGCTTATTTCTTCCTTCTGGCAAAATAAATTTCAAAATACTGTACATGTAAGTAGTCACCTTTTTATAAAAATCTAAATGAACTTTCCTGGATTATTTGCTAGTTCTCAAAATGTCAGTGCAGGGTACATTTGTCTGCAGATGGTGGGGGCTGAAGGCAGCTTCAGTGCCAGGCTAATGGCAGGGGAAATTATACTAAGCATTGGGATGGTTACCATTTGCTGGCAGCAGAAGTGCTCCCATTTCAACCATCTTTTATTAAACACCTACTATGTCCTGTGGAATATTGGATAGAGAGCTGGCCTCGAAGCCAGAAAGACCTGGGTTCAGGTACTCTCTCTGCCACATACTAGCTGTGGGAACTTGGGAAAATCACTTCACTTTGAATGCTCTAGGCAATTCTCCAAGACTTTAAGTTACATAAACGGTACTGATCTGCATTGACAGAGGAAGGACCTCACTGTGACCTCCCTAGGTCAATGAAATCCCAGGTCCAGGCCCCATCCCTATGTACAACACACTAAGTTAGGTGTGAAGGATACAAAGGCAAAAACAAAACAGCATAAGCCCTTAAGGAGCTTACACTCTACTGGGGAAGGCACAACATGAGCAAAGATCAATAGATCCTGGTTAACCTGAGGAGGCACAGGGCACTAAAGATTGTGGAGATCAGGAAAGGCTCCACAGAAGAGGTGGCACTGGACCTAAGTCTTGAATGAATATGAAGATTCTGAGAGGCAGAGATGAGGTCAGAATGCATTGCAGGGATTGGAGATGGCTTCTGGGAATGCATGGAAGCCAGAGATGGAATATGGAGTTCAGAGGACAGCTAACTGGATGGGAACATTGAGAGAATTAAGGGAAATAATATAAGATAAGGTTGAAAAGCTCAGTGGAAAATTGAGCAGTTTGTATTTTACCTTAATGGCAATGGGGAGCCACTGAAGATTTTTTAATAAAGGAATAGTCTGACCTGCCCCTTAAGAAGTTTATTCTGAAAATTACGGAGGATGGATTGGAGAGGGCAAAAGCCTGAGAGCAGGAAGACCAATTAGGAGGCTACTGCCACAGTTCAGGTGTAATTGAAATAACAGTGTGCACGGAACCAGGAGAAAGCTAGGTTTGAATACTGCCTAAGAAAGTTGCTGGCTGTGTAGTTACAGGAAAATCACTTAACTTTTCTGGGCCTCAGTTTCCTCACCTACCAAATGGATATAATACATATAGTATCTGATAAACTAACAGGGTTGTGGTAAAGATGAAAAGACAATGCACACAAAATGCTTTGCTAAACTTAGTGTTGTGTGTGTGTCTGTGTGTATGTATCTGGATGGACTGGACCTGGAACTTTGTGCATGTAGAGACTTCCCAATGAGGAACTTCCTCTATTAACATAATCTGGCACCTGATCTGCTTAAAGTCTTACAAAATTGTCTGAAGCACTGACAGGTTAAATAACTTGCTAAGGGTCACAAAGCCAGTAGATATTAAATGAATACTTTGAACCCAGACCTTTCTGACTCTGAGATTGGCTCTCTGTCCACTGTATTATGTGGCCTCTCTTTAGGAATACACACACACACACACACACACACACACACACACACTCACACACACACACGTTATTATTGTTCAGTCATATCTGACTCTTCATGACCCCATATGGGGTTTTCTTAGCAAAGATACTAGAGCTCTTTGATATTTCCTTTTCCAGCGAATTAAGGCAAACAGAGGTTAAATGACTTGTTCAGCATCACAAAGCTAATAAATATTTGAGGCCAGGTTTGAACTTAGGTCTTCATGAATCCAGGTCCAATGCTCTATCCACTAAACCACCTAGCAGTCATATACACACAGTATGTATGTGTACGTCATACATGCATAGATGACGTGTATGTGTGTGTGTGTGTGTGTGTGTGTGTGTGTGTGTGTGTGTGTGTGTAGATGCACACAGGGTATCCTATTAAAGCTATTAAATTTTAAAAACTACTCTATGACTTTTTGGGACACTCTGTATAGGTATATTTATACATAAGTAACATGTGTATCACACATATGACACAAATCTATCTAACTATCCATCTATCCGTCTCTCATTTTCTTTCAACTGTAAAATGGAGACATCAACATTACCTTTACTCACATTATCCTTGGGCAGAAATCTCTTAAAGCATTAGAGAAATGAGCTACCTTTATTATTTCATTACATATACAGGTTCCAATAAGGTTAGAAAATGATTCCTAAGCAGCTTGAAAGAACCAGAGGATCCCATCTTCTCAATTTGTTTTCTGTTATAGTATTTGTCATCAAACTTACGACATTTTAAAGCAAATTCCCTCTTTATTGATAAGGTTTCTACAACAGTATGGTGGATTTATTCACATGAAAGAAGAAAGCAATAGTGATACAGATTACTAAAGCCTAAGGGCAAGGCAATGACTACAAGCAGATGTGTGGAGAACATAAGTAATTTGGTCTATGCCTCCTGTTTACCCACGATTTGGCCAGTCAGTGTGGACTAAGGCCAGGGAGAGGATCGGTAGAGAACAACAGCAAAAGGAGAATGGGACTGAAAAAAAGAGGGTGACAGGATGACTTGGACCATGAGTTGGACCAGTACTTTGTTGGACCAGACTAGGAAAGGGCGGGTAAAGTGAAGAATGTTGCGATGTGAACCCTCCTTTCATAACCAATTGCCAGTGGCCGCGGAGAATGCAGTTCTACTAGTACTTTGTGTTGCATCATTAAAAAGAGGCCCACTTAAGGTAGAATAAAAGAGGTCCTATAGCCTTCTGACATCAGCTCTCCCTTCCTCAATCCTTTAACAAGCAAAGAGAAGCTTGAGTAATGGATTTTAGTATTCTGGATTAGAATTTTACTATTTTGAGCTAGAAGAGATCTTAGAGATATTTCAGTCCAATCCACTTCTTTAATAGATGAGGAAACTGAAACCCAGAGAAGCTATGGCTTGCCCAAAGTCAGAGACGTGGTAAAGGCAGGTCTCTACTCTAGATCTTTCTATTACAACACACTGCCTAATACGCCAGCTTGGAAAGATCAAAGTACCAAATGGCAACTGCAAGCCTTTTATGAGCTGGAGAACAAATTCCTAGAAAACTGAAGTTGGATCCACATTTTAAGTTCCATTCCTTTTAATAGCTAACCTGGTAAGTTGCAAGCTGATGTTTGGTTTTTCACAGTATTTGGCCAATTAAGGAGTCAACCTTTGGCTGGGAAATGAGATATCCCTTCTCTGTAGTTCACAAATTCCCCAGAAGCCTCTGGCTTCCTCGAATTTCTTTTAAAAATTCCCAATCTCTCTCAGCAGTAACACATACACAATTTTCTCTAGAAGATATCAGAGTCCCTCAGGTTTTGTGATGTCTAGAAAAGCCCTAATGTTCTGCTTGACTCAAAATTCCTTCTAAATATCATAAGTCACCCACTGATGGGTTACTTTCTCCTCTAATTTTTTCCAATTTTTAAATTTAAATTTGACCTCTCCAAAGCTTTTAATAGTATCGGGTTTCCCTCTCCCCCACCCCCTCCACACCCCTGACATTCTCTTCTCCCTTGGCTTCTGTTACACTGCTCACTCTTGGGTCTCCTCCTATCTGTATGATCATTCCTTCTCAGTTCTCTTTACTAGATCATCTTCCTCTTCTTGTCCACCAAATATGGGTGCCCCCCAAGCTCTGTCCTGGGCCCTCCTTCCCTCTATATTCTCTATACCTTGGTGGTCTCATTAGCTCCCAAGTTTCAGCTGTCATCCTTTTGTACAACTCTCAAATTTATTTATCTGGCCTTAATTTCTCCTGAACTCCCATCCTCCATTACCAACTGCCTGTGAGGCATCTCCATCTAGATGTCTGATAGGTATCTTACATTTAACACGTCCAAAACAGAATATTTCCAAAAAAGCCATTTCTTCTCCAAAGTTCCCCACCCAGTTCTGCTGATGGCACCACTCTCTTTATAGTCACTCAGGTTTGCCATTTTGGAGTCACTCTTAACTAACTATTGATCCTCAATTCTCATATCCAAACAGATTCCAAACCTCCCAGAATTTCTTTATTTCCTTCTCACAATTCTCACAGCCTCTGCCTTAGTTGAGGCCTTTATCACCTGTCACCTGGACTACTGAGTCTACCATTTGGTCTCCCTGCCTTCAATTCCTTCTCTCTCTCTAATCCAGCTTCTACATAGCTGCCAAATTGATAGCCCTAAAACACAAACTGAACCATTTCATTTCATTTCTCAAAAACTTTCAAATGGCTCCCTGTTACCTCTAGGATAAAATAAATAATTCTTACCCTAGCATTTAAAACCCTATCACCTTTCCAATATTATTTATAACACTCCATTTTTCATACTTTATATTCTAATCAAACTGATCAACCTGTTCCCCACACAGGACATTCTATTTCCCATCTCCTCATTTCTGTACATGTGTTTCCCCATGTCTGGAGTGCATTCCACCTCACTATCACCTGAGAGAATCCTTAGCTTTCTTCAAAGTACAACAAAAGCGTCACCTCTTACACGAGGCTTTTCCTAGACCCCCTTAGTTATTAGCATTCTCTCTTGAAATTACTTTGTTTTAATTCACATAAAATTTACATACTTTTGCACATGTTGTCTGCTAACTCCCTGTCCTCCAGCCCCTACTCCAAGTAGAATATAAGCTTGTTGGGGACTTTTTTTCAATCCTCAGCACTTAGCACAGTGCTTTGTGCACAGTAGGTGCTTCAAAAATTTGCACTGAACTGGGTTAGATTGAATTCACCAAACATCCACTGAAGAGTTGTAAAAACAAAACAAAGCAAAACCCAGCTCCAGTACTGTCTTCCCATTTTAAAGGTACAAAAATACAAACTATATGATTAAGCAGCCTAATATTGGATCATGTTTATTACATCAACTCACCCTTGACTAGCAACAGATGCACAGAAACCTCAGCTCTTACGAAGCAATGGATTGTCATGGTCAGATCATCATGCTAAAAACACCACAGTTATTTCAAATCTTGGAATATAAAGTGAAAAGCAAACTTCTGGGATCTTAAAGTTGGATCTATGTCTCAGCTCCATCATTTTTAGTAGCTAGGCTGGTTTGTGTTCCAGCTCATGTTTGGTTTCCATAATAATTGGGCAATCATACTTTAAAAACAAACAGCCCAGAGAATCCTAGTTTCCTGCAGGCGTTAGGTTTCCAGAAGCCTTAAGTTCCACATTCTGTCATCTTCTCTCTCCACACAATTTATCTTCCTCTTCCCTCCACTCCACTCATACCACCCAGAAGCACACATCCTTCTTCCCCAGGCTCCAGAAGGTAGCACTGAACGCCAGCGATTGTGACACTGAAGCCTGTGTGTCATATTGTAACTGGGTTTCCACATCCTCCTGTCAGTATTGTAAAAGCCCTAGAAGAGGAACAAGTGCAAATAATGAAATATAGGAATGTAGGAAAAGAGGAAGCAGCCGGGAGACAGCGGCCCAACTGAAATACTAAGAATTATGGAGAAGTGACAGAAAGGGAAGCAAGAGTAAGGAATTGCATTTGGTGGCTTAGAGCCACCCCCCCCCTTAAAAAAAGCCCAGAACACATGGTTTTCCTTGCCTCTAAATCAATTTTCAAAAAGTGCCTATCTGTGGTACTTTAGTACTGTGAATGGTACCAGGTGACCCTTCAATTAAGTGGTGACTTTTTCAGCCACTAATAGAGATGCTCATAATTGGTGAGCTGGGTAGGATATCAGAGACAATGTAGTTCAATCACGCCATTTTAGAAAAGAGGAAACTGACTTGCTTACCAAAAATGCCAAGAGATCCCAAGAGATTGGAAGCTGCCAGAGAAGTGATAAGAGCACCAGTTCTAGATTCAGAGGACCTGGGTTCAAATTCTGATTCTGACACCTACTATCTGTGTGATTCCAGGCCTCAGTTCCCTCATCTGGAAAAATGAGAGGGTTGGAACAGAGGATTTCGGAGGATCCTTCTAATTCTAGGTCTGTGATCCTCGGAATACTTAAACCTCACATCACTACGGCTACATTTGTTTTGCTCTTAGTTTTTCTAGGGCATGTACAAAGATTAGAAATGCTTACTCCATTATAACAGACACCTGAATTAAAGACAGGCACAAAGACTAGGCTAATCAACCATTAAGGATGAACATGGTGAAACCTCAGACATAGAACAAGGGTCATTTAAGAGAAGGGGGAGGGAGTAAAGACAGAATCACTTGAAACTTAGTGGGAATGAGAATGAAAATTTGAATTAGACTTTTGGAAATCTTCAAAGTGGAATGATTAGTCAAAGATGAGTTTCTAACTTCTTGTTACATGATGAATTTGATAAGGAAACATTCTCATCTATCATCTACCCAGGAGTTCTGCTGAAGTTAACAATGGGCAGGATTATTTGGTATGTCTTTCCAATCCATTAATCACATCCAGTGTCTGTGAATTTAGATGGAAAATTCCCTTTGCTACTGCAGGTTTTAGAATTAATGTACAGTATTTCCTCTTCTCTATTTTCCAGAAGAAGCCCCGGCTAAACTGGGAACTTATCTAGTGTTCCTTTCACAGAAGGCAGAAGACTATCTGTTGCAAACACCTATTTTTTAGTGGTACTCTCTGACAATTGTTTTTTTCATGCTGATATGCATAATATGACAAACTGAACTCTGAATTAAGGTTAAGGCTGTAGAGATCAAACAGTGTAGTAAAATAACCCTTCATAACAAAGATTGTGAATTTTTTCAGTATGGGCTTTCCCAACAAAGATCTCAATCCTTCCCTGCTTCATCAGATCACAAGATTGTAGAATCATAGATTTAGAGCTGGAAGGGTACAGAAGAACCATCTCATCCAATCCCTCAATTTTAAAGATGAGAAATCTAAGGCCCAGAGAGATAAAGCAACTTCAATCAATCAACATAGCAATTGCTCAATAATACTTGTCAATGGAGTGAATGACTATTGAATGGGGTCAACAAAGCATGACCAGATATTAAAGGTCTAATTTATTATTAGATATCTCAATTAATGAATTATCTGGCAGTAAAGCTACTTTTTCATGGTTGGCCATGTGAAAACATAAGCGAAGGAAACATTCGTTCTCCTAAATCATCATCAGCAGGTGATGTGTGTCCATGGCTTAATTTGTCCATACCCTAAAAGAGATTTTATTTGTCTTCACACAGCTGAAGTTAAAATGGTTCTAGGACAAGCCTGGTAGAAGTTGGAGTAATTTATCTTTGTTGTCTCCCTAGCTTCCTTTTCCTATGACCTTCTACAGCTTCTGTTGGGTCCCTCTTCTTGTTCACATTGCAGTGTCCTCAAGCTCCCTAAAACTTTGTTTCTTAAAAAAAAGGAAATAATCAAAATCAAAATAATCAGTAACAATCAAATAATCAATACTTAAAGGTGAATAGGTTTTAGTCAATGCTTCCTTGCCTAGGAATTTGCATTTTAAGCAAACTGTGGAGTGAAAGATTTCATCATCTTAAAAAACAACATTCTGGTAAGAGTTGTAAAATATTGACATTTGTTGAGAGGGGACTGAAATCTCTGGAATTACACTTCCATGACCTTACTGCGTATTCTTTGGGGAAGTGTGTGGTGGTAATTTGGTTATTCTAGGAAGTTAATGGAGGCGAAGAAATCACCCCACCCCTACTACTCACCAAGTACTTTTTTGTCACTTTGCCTATATTTTGTAGTTATTCTTTTGTTTACACATTATGTCCATCCACTACCTTTTGTCTCTGTATTCTTTGTACTTAGCAGAGTCTGGAACATAATAGCTGCTAAATCAATGGTCTTTGAATTAAAGTTTATATTCTACTACCAGGATCTACTCTCACAAATCTACCTGATAAAATCCTTTTCTTCCAGATCCTTCCCCAAGTGAGCACCTAGGTTTCCTATCTCTTATACCTTAAACCTCTCTGACTATCTCTATGAAGTTGTTAAGCTATTTGAGGGACTCCATCTTATTGAAACTTCAAATATTTCCCATTTTTTTTAGCATGCTGCTCTGCACAAAGTGGGTGATTAATAAATGTTTACATATGATGATGTTTGTTGATGACTCCCAGACTCAGATATTTCTGATGCTATTTTAGTTAGTATTTAATAATATTTTCATGACATAATCCTCCTTTTCAGACATCCTGCAAAGTATCCCTTTATCTCCAATATGATTTCTACCTCTGGTAATGGAAGTTGTGGCTGAAAGTGTTTAGCCAGGATATAGCCTTTCCTTTAATAGAGTTATTATTTGAGTTACACATACAGGCATCATGTAAGCACATGTACTCAAACCTTGGAAGGAATGAACCCTGGAACTTCAAAGATGCCTTACTATGGTTTTAGACATTTTTAAAGGCAATTGATAGAACTAAATCCTAATTATTTAAAAAAAACAGAATAAAATTAAAAATAAGTACCACAGACTATAACTCTAGTAGTATGAATGAACCCACAAAGTATCTGAGTTTTTATTTTGTCCAGCTAGCTGTGCCAAGTTGTCCTCCCATCTCTGAATTTGGGTTTTCTGTGTCTGATGGCTGAACAGTAGCCAAGCTTCCCTGTCTCACGTGAGCATAGTTAAGAATTAATTACCAAAAAAGACTTTCTCACAAAAGGCAGGGTACCCCTAGCCTCCACCCCTACTTCCCCCCACAGGAAAAAAAAAAAACAGACACTGACATCATCTCTACTTGGCACTACCCGAGAAGCAGGATGAATGTGAACAGCCTCCTTTATTTCTCTGGATCTGTCACTTTCTCTTGCGTTTGTCATTATGTTTCTTGGTAAAACTAGAGCGTGACTTTAAAGTTCTGTAATAGGCTAGGGGGGAGGTTCTGACCTGAGCAGATGTCACCACTACATCCACATTTGAAAGCTAAGACACAAGAAAAGAGCGGGGGTTGCTCCAGCCCATCTTTCCAGGCAGATTACATAGGACTTCCTGTTACGACTCCTTTGCGTGCACTCTGCAGTATAGTCAAACTGGTCTTCTCCTTGCTCACGCATGCTATTCCGTCTCACACCTGTGTGCCTTTGCCTGCAATGTTCTCCCTCCTCGGATCTGCCCCTTGGAATCCCCAGCTTCCTTTCAGGCTCAGCTCCAGTATTACGTTTTGTATTTGTTTTGTATAAGTTCTGTACTTACTGGTGAATGTGTTGGATCTGCCTGGCACAGGGATTTTTAACTTGAGAACCACAGACCCCCACAAGGCCCATGGATAGATTTGAGGGGGTCTGTGGACTTGGAAGGGAAAAATACATCTTTATTTTTACCAACCTCTAACTGAAATTTAGCATTTTCTTCAATTATGAATTAAAAAAAAACATTATTCTGAAGTCCATAGGCTTCACCAGATTGTCAAAGGGGTCCTCTGCAATGGTAGAATGCATGCTTCTTCAAGGCAGGGGCTTTCTTTCTTTTATATCTGTCTCAACTATCTAGCTCAGTGCCCAGTACGCAGCTGCCTCTTAATACATGCTTGTTGACTTTAGGTCCTCAAAATGTGGTTTGTGCAAAAGCAGCCATGGTACCTATGTCGTTTGACCTCAACAGCTTTTGTCTGGGGGAAAAGTTTATTTCAAATATCTATATGGAAAAAATACTTATCTAGTAGTTTTTGAATAATCACTGAAAAGAGGTTTTTGCCTTCATAACCATAAGGCAGCTAGGTAGCACAGTGGACAGAGTGTTGTACCTGGCATTAGGAAGTCTTGAGTTCAAATGTGATCCTAAATACTTGCTAGCTATATGACCATGAGCAAGTCAATTGATCCCTTTCTGCCTCAGTTTCCTCATCTATAAAATGGGATAAAAATAGCACCTATCTCTCAGGGTTGTTGTGAGAATAAAATGAGATAATATTTGTAAAGCACTTTGCAAACCTTAAAGTGTTATACAAATGGTAGGTATTTTTTTTTAGTAAACTATCACATCATCTGCAAAGAGTGATAATTTTGTTTCTTCATTGCCTATTTTTCAATTTCTTTTTCTTGTCTTATTGCTCTAGCTAGCATTTCTAGTACAATATTAGTAACAGTGATGATAACGGAAATCTTTGCTTCACTCTGATCTTATTGGGAAGGCTTCTAGTTTATCCCCATTATTGATAATATTGCTTTGGATTTTTAGATAGCTACTACTTAACATTTTAAGAAATGCTCCATTTATTTCTAAGCTTTCTAGGGTTTTTTATAGGACTGGGTATTTTATTTGTTTTTTTTTAACTCAATTTTTAACATTAATTTAAAAAAAAAATTGAGTTCCAAATTCTCTCCCCCTCTCCTGCCCTTCCTACACCCACTGAGAAGGTAAACAATACATCAATTACATGTGAAGTCACGCAAAATATATTTCCATATCAGCCATGTTGCAAAAAAGCAAGAAA